AGTATGGCTATCGCGTTCTGCCCAGGGAAGTAGTTCTCCATTAAGCTCATAATATCTCTTTAGCAATCTTTCAATCGCTACTGTGCCTAAGTTAGTCCTCAGCCTTTTGTGGGACACGGCACAAACTATACTTAGAGGATTTAATTAACCCTCTCAATCAAAACTGCGGGACCGCTTGTCAGACCAAGATATTTTTGACATTTAATAAGAGAAATAATCTATAAACAAATTGAATTTTTCTATTAAAAGTCTCTATTTCTATTCCTTAGGCCTGTTCCATCGACGAGCGGATCGTCAAGTGAAACCTTTAGGCCTGTTCCCGTCGACGAGCGGACCGCCAAGTGAAATACATATCTTCCTGCGGCAGGGGGTGCTTTGGTCAAAAAAAAATGAAATCTACAGACAAACTTTTTCCGGACAAGAAGTCCGGAGACGTAGAATCTTACCACGAAAAGCTCCAAGGCCAAAGTGGCAAGTTAGGGGCAAATTCGGGGGAGTAAAATCGAGAAAAATATATTTGGAAAAAACTAGAAAGTAAGAGCAACAACAATGACAAAGAAAAGAGCATGTACATTATTGGCCATGTATTACTACCACAGTGAAAATACTTTCCACCCGCCGTAGGTTGAGTAGTCCGTCTAATTCTGGCATGAACCCTGGCCTGAGCATCCTCACGAGCCCTCAAGTACAACGTCTGCATTTGGCTTGCGGCATCATGCTCCTGCTCCCCTGCTGGCGCCACTCCTGGAACAGCTTTATGTCCAAATTCCCTTGCAAATTCAGCACCATCGCTAGGATGATTGTTTGCTCTTCGATTTTTGGACTTCCGTGGACTTTCATTGGTTCTTGACTCTTCATCAGTAATCCTTGTTCGGCGCATTGTTGATGCCACTGGAGGACTTCCTCCTCTCCAGATCGACCATTGCCAACCATTGCCACGCTTGCTATTCTTTTCGCCCTCTGGTCCCCTCAGTATTGCCCTCGTTTGCCCATTCGCTGTCAGTTCTGCCTCATGTGAAGAGGATCTCCAAGCGCTTGAAATTGCTAGTGTTTGCTATGCTCTAGCGGAGTGGTTTGAGCCATTTTACGACCCTTGAATGCCAGAAAGTGATCTGGACCATAATGTACCCCTTTGACAGAACGTTTCTGTCATCTACTAGGTGTGTCAATAAGCTTGATTTGATCCCAAAAAGATTGTTGATTGTTGTCCTGTCTGATTTGGTGGAAAGTCATCGCCAAGCTATTAGATTGTTGCATGCCAGTGAAGCCAATCACCGGTGTAGCGCATGCCAGTGAGGCCAATCATCGGTGCAGCGCATGCCAGTGAAGCCAAGCACCGGTGTAGCATCGATTTCCTGAGATCGCAAAGAATGTATGAGCAAAACCGGTGTCGGATATCCACTACCAATCGCAACCAACACTTTGCATACATAGAACATCTGGCCAAAAACCCAAAGGGTATCCTCGAACGATAGTCCCTGTGTCGTCTGAAGATATTGTAGAGGGCTGTCGCCATCTTGACCGGCACAGAATCCCAACTGCCCGATATCACAAGTCTGAACATGACGAACTGAATGCTAAATATTGTAGCGAAGTTGGCCCATTTTTTGATTGCTGCTGCTTGGCATCTCTTATTTTGGTTTCAGATGAGGCAACCACGTTGCTCGGCAGGAGACCTTATGTTTCATTTGCAATTCCCACCCCAATCCTGAGCGAAACGGTGGCTTATTGTCCATCATCCCAGCCATCAGAGATGATTCCTATAATGTTGTAGGTTTAATTTTTAGAATCTCTTGTCGTTAATATGGCTCGTCGCAGTCTTGGTTGTCACAGGTACTGCGTTTTGTTGTTTTGTAATGGTTTTGAAGGCATATATAAAAATATTGTTGGCATTTGTTCAGTCAAAGTACTATACGCTCAATGGGGTACATACTTTGTATTCCAACCAAAGTCTAATTTTGTATTCAAAATTCTCCGGACATGTATCCGGGAAATAGTTTGCTGAAACGCATTATGTTGTTGCACCCACGTAGAAGCTTGTTCATCACGGTACATTTTGGTATCCCCCAATCCAACCATAATTTCCAGTTATTTTCAAAATCTGGGTGAAGTGTCCAGAGAAAAGGTCTTGTCCTGCTAGTCGTGTCCGGAACAGTGCAGACGTTGATTGTCAAACACCAAATTAGATTGAATTTTGTGGTCGAATGTTGTGAGATGTTATGAGAGAAAATCGTTGCCTAGATACAACTGGAAAACCCGCTCAGCGCCATTCTTCCTCCTGATGGGCAACAGTGCTCCACCATTCAGCCATGGTCTGTAGATTTTCGTCATATTTGATTTTCCAGGCGGGTTGTCACGCTCCTCATTAATCTTCCATGTATCATCTTTGAGCACCATTTTGAGGAAGCGTGCTGGCTTGTAGGTATCAATCATTGGAGAATTGTCGCCAAGCAATTGCTGCTGCTACCCTTGAACCCTTGTATTGCATCAGCTACAGTCGCAAGTGCCTTCATATGCTGTGCATTCTTGGTATCTGACACAATTCGCCTGAAAGCTCCCCAGTTCTGATTTATTTCACTCTGTTCACTTGATGACAGACAGCACCCATGCTGATTTGCAAGCCAACTAGTAGATGAACAAAACAAGCTCATTCCGTTGGATTACAAGAAAACACATCACAATTGCCAACTCCCTCCGGCAGCTGTCATCATCAATCTATTCTTTGTCTCCTGTTCTCAGTTTCGTTTGTTGTTCGTTATGAAGAAGCTTCTGAAAACAGGTAGCTACTGTCTGGTGTTGAATGATTGTTGTCTGCAAAGTGGCCCGTCTTCTTTTCCCAGGGCAGCTTTGCTTGCTACTTTGTGCGTGTGCATGCGAATTTGGGATGGGGTGGGATTCGGTGTTCGGGTGTCAGAAATTAAACGGGAAAGAAATATTTATTTAGTTAACCTTTTTGGGTCACATCTTGTTGTGCCTGGAACGCACCACAACGTGCAACGCACGCAATTTAAATGTCCGTTAATAGTTAAAAATGGTTTTATTGGAAAACGTTAAGTGTCCGTTTCCATTTTAGCGCGGGCGCACTGTGGAAATCGGGCATGCCCCGTGCGTCAATTTGACGCAAAAACGGGCACGCCCCGCGTCAAATTAACACAAATATGCGTCAAATTAACCGTTTCCTGGTCAGACAATACAAATCAATACATTCGTAGATCCAGTAAAAAATGTACGTGAAATCGACTACACCGACTGCTCCAAAATAGTACCTTCAACCTCTAAATACTATTCGCCAAATTTGGCCACCAAAGAAATGAACACATAGTTGGAAGTCATTTATATCAAAGAAGATGTCCAATATGAGTATATGTGGGGAAAGTGTTGTTGGAAGCCACTTTCCGATTTTGATGTTCAAACATAGAGCTTTTTTAGTTTCTCTCATGTGGATCCAGTACATTTGCTATGGGGATGGGAAACACAGCATCAATTATCAGGAAGTGGTCCAACCAATTATTCACACATAGGAAAGTGTTTTCAAATCTATTGCATTCAATTGTGGGCCCTTGTCCTGTTATTGATAATGCCTCTAAACAGCAGATCTGGACCTGACTATTTGGATAAATCAGTTTGACTACTTTGACTACGTAGGGTTTGTACCAGTTCTACAAAATGTATTGATTTGTATTGTCTGACCAGGAAACGGTTAACGCAAATTGACGCGCGATGCACGAAACTGCGTCAAATTGACACAAGTTGCGTCAATCCCGCGTCAAACTCAAGAAATTGCGTCAATCCCGCGTCAAACTCAAGAAATTGCGTCAATCCCGCGTCAAACTCAAGGGAGGCCAGAAACACAATGTGATAAGAGCACAGTTCAGGTTCTGACACCAGCTACTTCATTATGCTATGGGCTATAGTTCTGCATTCGTTTATCAGGAGTACTTGGCTTAATATCCCAAAATTACACAGTTCCAAGCTCTAAACCAATTTGGATTGATTCCAGGACAGCAACGACTAGTACCGCAAGTGTATGCTTATCATAGTTATGGATCCAAATACCTTGCAATGATTGGAACTTTTTTATCTTGAAAAAGACACATACTACCCCGTTTTTTGGTGTTCAACAAGAATGCTGGATGCAATAAGTCCCTAAACAATTGAGACAAGGAGAGCAGAAAGATCCTGAAAGGAATAGGAGACATTGCCAGATCCCTGGCCAAGTATGCCTATGGAAGAAAGGTCAGTTCCAACATTGCCAAATCCATTCTCAAATATTTTTTCTACAAGATTTTCGAGCAGTACTATATCTGGGGGATTCCGTTGATGAAGACAGGGATATCTCTTGGTGAATTTCATCAAGGGCTTCAAACTCTTCATTGATAAGGTTGTTGCTTCTTGCTTGGAAAATAGCATCATTGCCATTATGTGCCCCAGCTTTGTCAATTTCCATCAGATCCATTGTTCAAAAAATGGGCAACTCTCATTGGAATGAGAGTGGGAACTCAAACTCTCATTCATTCACACACACTCCAATCTCTTTGGAAATGATACCAGAACGCGGGTTTCGTCCCGCGTCCAAGACATGCAGGCCCGCGTTAAATTGACGCAACCCGCGTCAGCTGACGCGGAATTGGCGTTAAACTGACGCAACTATGCGTCAAACCAACGCATTACCGCGTCAAACTAACGCAACTCCGCGTCAAACCAACGCAACTCCGCGTCAAACTGACGCAACTCGCGTCATTCCCACGTCGAAAGAAACGTCCTGCGTCAAAGTCGCGGAGCATTTTAACGGACACATAAAAAGTATTTAGAGCTAAAAAATCCTCAAAACAATCTAGACGGACAGATTTTGGGCGTGCGTTTGACGTTGTGGTGCGTCCCTGACTTCGTTGTTTTATCTCCGACTCACTCGACCATAAAGCTGATTCCACGTGGAGGTCTCTGCTGATGATTGATTGATTCATGCATTCCACGTGGAGGACATTTGCAAGAAATGCCAGCGCATGAACCACGATTCGACTCATTTCCCACCAGTCCTCAACAACTTGACAGCAAACGCCAAACAAAAGGGGGCGAACTTGATGTTTGGTGGAAGCAAAAGCCAAACAAAAGAAGCTTTCCGTACCTCGGAGGCAATGGGATGGAAGCATTCTCAAAGTCAAATGTAAACAACTCTAGTCTAATATCGTTAGCTACGTCTATCAGTGATGGCTCAACCTAGGCTAGGCAGCGCCGAAAAGAAGCAACGGCGACAGAGATACAAAGAAAACCAGGAAAAGACAAGAGTTGCCAAAGCAAAACGGGCTCACTCACCCTTGGCAGAGGAAGAGAGGAATGAAAGACGACAGAGGAAGCATCACCGCTACAATGAAAAGAGAAGAAGTACCCAAGGATCATCTGCGATGCCATCCCAAGACTCTTCAAAACATCCCTAGCTGGTCTTAGGCTGGCTAAAGCCTGGGTCGTCCGAGGTGTGTTGGTTGGACACACAAGCTTAAACTCTTCCGTTTGCCAAAAGCTACTGGCTGGAAGAGTGGACTGTTTTACTCCTTATGATCCGAGGAGATGAAATGGAGGGTTGAAACAAGGACAACATGAAGATTGCAAACGGAAAACGAGCACAACGCACAACATCGATGATTGTGATGAAAATATTCAAAAAGGATACCCCTCGGATTGGTGTGAAACCCATTTCGGATGGGACGCGGGAAGAATTTTTGCACCCCTGCAGCACAGGGTTATCAAAATTCTAGCTCAACACGAAATATGAGTTTTTATGTTCCAAAAAGAAACTATTCAAGTACAAAGTTTTCAACACGTACGATCGGACTTTGATCGTGATGTCGGGATACGACACAAGTATGCCGGACGCAAGTCTGT